GCCCAGATCTTGACTGGGGGCTGGGTGGTCTCCACCAGCTCCCACGATTTAGGGTTTCTCTCTTTGGTATCCCTGGCTTCAGGGTTGTTATTTTTGTGGCTTTTCCCTCTTCCAACCACGGCAGGAAGAGGCTCTTGAGTCTCTCCTCATTGATTTATCCAGCAGCAAAGGGGCACAACCCCTCCTGCACTCCCCAAGAAACATTCCAAGTGCTGTCCTCCCCCCTTCCTCTGCCTTCCTCATCCTCCCTGCAGCTGCATCCAGCCCCTGCTTAAATGAGCATGGAATCCCAATTAATGTGGCTCTAATCAGGACATCAGCATCTCTGGACAAGCATCTGCAGCAGCTTTTGGGGGCTGAGCACTCAGTCAGCTTCCCAGTGCTCTGCCACTGGGGCCTGTTCATCTAATTACACCCAGGCTGCTGTGCTGCTCAACCTTTTAATTGCCCAGGACAGAGAATAGGGTGGTAACCAGGTCAGAGCTAGAAATTGCTGGGCATTGTTTTAAGACAGCAAAGCTGTTTTTTGACCACCATTCAGAAGCCTTGGTTTATGTAATTGCCAAGGAAAGGAGGGCATTCAGGAGGGGCAGCAGGGAACACTCAAAAGGGATGGCTGAATCGCTTTTAATTAATGAAAAATGACTTGAAGCCTGATTCCTTTCTGTAACAGTAAGATCTCAACTGAACACCACAACACAAATCCTTTCCCAGAGCTTCAGATCAAGCCATGGGTCCTTGGTGGTAATATTGCTGGTAATAGCTGGGATTTAGTCTACGAGATGGGGGACTGAGAGGGTAAGGAAAAAAAAAATCCAATTAACTCTCCCAGAGCTCTTTTAGTTCTGTAGTGCTGGGAACAATAGTAAATAGCAGGTTTTTATGTGTTCAGATCCCCAAAATAGTTGCCCTGATTGAACCCTTCAAAAAGCACTGATGATTCTTTCATGTAGCTTTAAAAGTAGAGTTTGGCAGGAAAATGAAGGATGGAAGATTAAAGAGATCAAGGCAGAACATTTGGGGCTGATCCCTGACCCCAGTTACACCAACTTTAGTTGGGATTAGCACCAGTGGAAATCAAATGAGAGGCTGGGGGACTGGGCAGGGAGTAAAAGCTTGTGCTTGGCTGATCTGGGGGGTGTTTCAGAGCACAACCAACAGCCTGGTGTTGCTCCCCCTTGGCTTCACATTCCTGCCCTGAACTCCACGTGGGTGAGCTCTCAGGCAGAGTGCTGGAAGGAGAAGCCTTGCCTGGCTCAGTGACCTGAGGCTGCAAGGATGGGATGTTTCCTGGGGTTCTGCTCAGCTCTCTAGCCCCTGGGATGAGCGACCTGCAGCGTTTTCCCTGCTGGAAAGCACAGCAGGAAAGCTGCCTGTGGCTCCTGGAGAAACCCATCGCCCCAGGAGGGCAGGGAAGGCCCCTCAAGCCCCTGTTCTACCTCCTTCCAGTTCCATCCTGCTTCCCAGCAGCAGCAGGGTCAGGATCTTGCTCTTCCCATGGAAGTTTGGGGGCAATCCTGATCTGTTATGAGTGAGTGTAACCCTCTTGCCTTGACCCAACAGGTTCAGTTCCTCAGGCACAGCCCAATCAACCCCCTTGCAGGGGGAGGGCTGAGGCTGGACATTTAAGGCTTGTTGTTGCTTTTAGGGCCCCAGCAGCTGGGAATGGCACAGACTTTCAGAGAGTGTCCCTGCCTGGATGTGTCCCTTCCCCAAGAGCCAGAGCTTCCCGCACTGGATTCCCCTTCACAGACTCCACGGTGCCAGAGGCAGAGGCAACCCGAATTGGCAAAACAAGGCCTTTTTTTGAAGAAGCAGAGACAATCTGGAGGACCTGCAGCTTCCTGGGAAGCGCCGTGGTTGTTGACTCAGCGGTCTGAGGGGAACCACGCCGGCGTGTTCCTGCAGCAGCAGAGCTGCGTGGGACCGAGAGCACCCGAGATCTGGAAGAGCTGTGGTGCTGCAGATGCGTGGAAGCCCCTTGCAGCCCTCCAGGCACCCTGTCCAGGCAGGGCAGAGGGTGGGAGGGGTGTGTTCTGCCCCTCCAAGGCAGCAGAGCAGTTCCCAGAGACCTGCTCTTCAGCCTCCCACAGCCCAGCTCCCCGCTGAGCTCCACAGGTTGTTTCTTAGAAATAAGCAGCTCGTTCACAACAAACACCCTCGCCCCTTTGATGTGCCCGTGGTGCTGTTGTTGTGGTGTTTAAAACGCTTTGGTTTCATGCTCGTAATAAGCAAACTGGCCGTAGAGTCTTACTGTAAGTTGCTGAGAAAGTAGCAGTAATTATTGCTCTCTCTCTCCTCCACGGGAGGGGAAACTTTGGATGCTAATGGCCTCTGGAGTATTGACTGATTACTCACGTCGGGGTGAAACAGCACCTTCACTCTCCTTGCTGTTAAAAACTCCTGTGTTCAGGGCAGGAAACATCGTAGAGAGATGTGTAAGGGAGAGTTGCAGCAGGTTTTGGGTTAAGAGGGGAAAGGATTTTATTATTATTTTATTTTTGGGGGTGGGAGGGCTGACACAACACAGGTCAGACGTATTCCTGGAATGGGGGAAGGGGGAAGATGCTGCAGGTGTTTATTCCTCATCCCTGAAGGCAGGCACGCAACAACAAGTGGGTGGACGAGGTGGCTACAAACATTTTTGTTTGCCTGGTAGATTTGCATGAAAGGGAGGCAGGGCTCTTGCAAAAAGTTTACCCACAGAGCCTTGAGAGGATGCTACAGCACTTCTCACACCCTCTGCTTCTATTTTTCTCTTACAGCAAGGCTTTGAGTCCAGCTTTAGCGGACATCAATCCCTTCCTGGTTTTCCGAGGCACCCGTGTGACACTGAGCTGCTGTAAATGAAGTTTTGAGGTGAGGAACAGGGAATGAAGATTTGTAGCTTGGCCAAATATTAGTGGTTTTCCCCAGGGATGACAGAGGCACCAAGGCAAACCCTGTGTCAGATTGTAATTCCCTGCTCCCACGCACTGGAACTTCACAACAAAGCACAGCGAGGAGTGTTTTCTTTTAACAGCATATTTTTTCCCTTAACCTTGTTCTCAGTCGTGGCTGAGGTATTTTAATGGAAGTTTCCTCCCAGTAGAAGACTGCAATGTGCTCACATACCAGAAAATCTTGGCCCAGATCATTAACATTCAGGAAAATTAAAGGCAACTGATCCTGCCACGGGTGCACTGAGTGTAAGGCGTGTTTCACCTCTGCTGTAGTTCAGAAAAGAGGCTCCAAGCATTAAGAGCAAACAGCGAAGACAGAAGAGGCTGATTGACACCAGTGAAGTATTTATTGCTTCAGTCGCTGTCCCCAAGTCTTTGAGCTGTACCTGCTCTTCAGTAATTCCCAAATTCCAAATCTGGGCCTTTGGACTGGAAGTCCTCCCAGGGTTCTTTGTGCCCACTGCCCTCGTGGCACTCTTCCTTCCAGCCCCTCCTGTCTTTTTGCATAATCTCCTCTGAATAAATTCCCTGTGAGTGGGGCCTTCTCCTTCGCAGCCTTTGTCATGAGGATCTGCCTTCCTGGGGGTTCCTACCTTGTGGGCCCTCCCTCTCTTTTTGTATCCCAGCTGAGCCACTGCTTTTTCTCCCCCCCCCGTTTGCACCTCTTAACTTTTTCTTCTCTTATTTTGAGCGCTGCTATTGTCCTGAAAAGCACTTCAAGGAGCCAATTTGCTGGAGGGAAGCTGTGAAAATTTAGGGCTAAAACTTGTGCGAGGTCACACAAAAAAGCACTATTTGGACAAGAGCGATCTCTCTGCCTGGAAGCGTGGCTTTAAATGGTTGTTTCTATTTATTTCTGTGCTTCTCCTGCAAACCTCTTTCTCCGAGGCCCTGATCCTGCTGCCACAGTGACCTTTGTGTTTGCAGAGAGACCTTTTGAAATCAAAGGGGCCCTTCAGCAGCATCTGCCCATCTGGAAGTGATCACAGAACGGGGTGGGGTGGAGGGCAGGTTGGAAGCATTTTGAGTGTGGAGTCTGAAATGATCCAGGCCCACAGGCCTGTGAGGGCAACTCCAGTGGGGGCTGTGTTGCATCCTCAGGCGCAGGGATGCATCCAGCGTGGCTCACACCAGACCTGTGGCACCGTCAGAGCCTGAGCAATCCTGCCAGTGGCGTTTGATTTGCAACAACCACCCGCTCAGAGGGCACTGGGAGTATTTGGTTGTGGCTAAAACACGGCTGGGGGTGTTCAGGGCCAGGCTGGATGGAGCTCTGAGGGAAGGTGGAGATGATCATCTTTAAGGTCCCTTTAAACCCGAACCGTTCTGTGACGTGCACAGGTGAGAGAGATGGGCTTTGTGGAAACGCTGCCCTCTCACCTCCCTCCCAGCTGCAGTTTGTGGCCAGCTGGGTACCCGAGGAAAATAAAAACACAGCGGGCGTGTGGGAGAGCCCTGGAGGGGGCAGGAGCAGACCAGACCCCCCCCTCTCCATCCTCCCGACGGACCGGAGGGAGCGGGAATGGGGCTGGACAATGGATCTGTGTGTGCGGGGCCAGGATTCCCGCACGATGGATCCGCGTGTGCGGGGAGGGGACTCCGCAGAACGGCCCCGCGTGTACAAGGACGGGACTCCGCAGAACGGCCCCGCGTGTCTGGGGCCGGGGCCGGGCCCGGACGATGCTCTCTCGCTGCATCCCCGCCGGTCCCGGCGCTGTTCCTTTAACGACGGGGCGGGCGCTGCTCGGCGGGGCCGTCCCGGGTCCGGGCGGGTGGAGGGGGGGGGGGGGGGGGGGGGGGGGGGGGGGGGGGGGGGGGGGGGGGGGGGGGGGGGGGGGGGGGGGGGGGGGGGGGGGGGGGGGGGGGGGGGGGGGGGGGGGGGGGGGGGGGGGGGGGGCAGGGCCGGGGGAGGGACGGACGGACGGACGGAGGGAGGGAGCGATCGCTGGATGAGAAGGGCGAGCGGGCGGCGCTCGGAGCCACCCCCGCGGGGCCGGGGGCGCGGCGGGGCCGCCTTTCCCCCGCCGCCTTGCGCGCCCCCGCCCCACGCCCGCCCTGCCCGGAGCCCGTGGGCGCGGGGGGGATGCGGGGCCCGCGGCGCCGGCTCCCGGCGCTGCCCGCGCTGCTGTGGCTGGCGCTGGCCCCGCTGCCCGGCCCCGCGGCGCGGGCAGAGCTGCGGGTGCGGGTGCGGCTGCCCGGCGGGCAGGTGACCGAGGAGAGCCTGCAGGCCGACAGCGGGGCCGACTGCGTCAGCCTGGAGCTGCGGGCGGCGGACGGGGCGCTCGTCACGCTCACGGCTGATTTCAGACAGGTACGGGGCCGAGGGGAGCATCCCCGCGGGGTACCGCGGGGTAGGGATGCAGCGGAGCGCCCGTGCCCGCCCGCCGGCCGGCCGGTCCGGGGCTCCCTCGGGGATTCCCGGAGGAGATGAGAGGCAGAGGGATGGGAGCGCTGGCCCCTGGCACCGCGCGGGTCACGGCTCTGCGAGTGCTTTTTGTGGGATGAGCGGTCCTTCCCCTTTCTCCCTCCAGGCTGGGATGGACTCGGAACCTGAGGGTCCAAGGGCCAGAAATGTTTCATCGGGCAGGCTCCCACACTGAGAAGGAGCCAGGATGACCATGGGGCGATGTGCTGGGGAAGGATCCGGGCAGGCAAAGAGCGGGGAGCTGGCAGGACAGGCACGTGTAGGGGAAACTCCGTCCATCCTCACGCCCGGTTGGGGTCTTTGTTTGAGGTCTCCGCAGAGCACACGAGCCGGTGAACCAGGCTCGCTGTCCCCACTGGTGTCACACCCGTGACCCGGGCTGCCTCCGTGGTGGAAGTAGGTGGTGAAAGGTCCCGGTGGGATGGGTGGCAGTTCCCCTGCAGCCGGCTGCTAACCCCGCAGCCCCGTGTCTCGCTGTGCACGGCACAGCTTTGCACGGTTCTGCATAGTTTTGCGTGGCAGGCTCGGCACAGCCGGGCACGGAGCAGGGTCAGGGCAGGAGAGTCTGCAAAGGGAAATCTCGGGTTCCTGACTCCGGGATGGGGGTGTTTGTGCTCTGCTGTATCTCTGGGGTGTCTCTCTCCACGATGCCGTGGGGTACAGGTAGTTCCTTAGGTGGGCTCCTGCTGTCTCTGGGAGCGTGTATGTGTGGGGTGGGAAGTGTTTGCCTGACAGCTGTCTGTGGGACTGACAACACCCTCTCCCTCCACCAGCCCAGAGTGCCAGAGGTGGCCTCTCTGCAGGGAGGTGATGCTGGCTGAGCTGGAGCCCAAAATCCCACACTTCCCAGTGGCTCCTTGGCCAGCGTGGAGCATTCCAAGCCCGGCTGGACACAGAGAACTTCCTATTGCTCAGAGAAGAGCCTCTTGCAGCTGTGTGGGTGGCATGGCTTTGTGGGTGCCAGGGCTGTGTTATCTTGTTCCAACCCCCCCTTTCAGTCTGTTTGCTCAGGTGGACTTTGCTTTGCAGCAGGAGGAAGCTCGGGCCCATGAGATAGAAAGGTGTTGTGTCCCAACCTGCTGTGAACCTTGGAGCCTTCTGCCAGGGGTTGCTCTGGTGCCTCTTCCCCTTTCAGCTGTGCTCCTTGCAAGCTCCTGGGGTCCCCTCTTCCATCTGGGGGGGGGGGGGGGTGCAGGGGCAAGCCCACCTCTCTCTGAGATGGCAGCAGAAGCCATGGAGATTTTGGAAGCAATGCCACACTCCAAGTACTCCAGCACATGTGCAGGGAAGCAGCCCCATGGCTCCTCTTAAAAAAAAACAATATTAAAACATTGCAAGAAGTCATGGCCCAGCAGGGAAATTTAAGGGAGGGAGGGAGGACTCTCAAGCCTGCAGATTACAAACTTGTACACTCCAGTGTATTCCCAGGCAATGGAAATCCAAACTCATTGCAGATCCTCTAGGTAGGCCCTTGGAGAGCCTGGGGTGTGACCTGGGGACTGCTGGTGTCTTGAGGTGTTGATTTATTTATTTTTTTCCAGCATTTTTCACTTGCTCCAGCTCTTCTGGAGAGCTCAGATCTCATCCACAAACCCAGCAGAGGGTGTGTTATCTCCTCTCTGGCTCTCATCCTTATTATAGTCGAGCTGCTTCTGGGTTCAGGTTCTCTGAAGGTATCTGGCTGCAGTCTGTTAAATCCTCAGCTCCATGCATCCCCTCAGCTCCTGCTGGAGACATTCACATGGTCCCTGGAAGGCTTTGCAAGCCTTGGACTGGCAGGAGCGCCTTCCTCCTCTTCAGTTTTACAGCAGTTGGGAACTGGCTCTCTCTGCTTCGTGGCTTTGCTGGAAAAAAAATAGCTGAGAAAAGCCAGGAAATCATAAAGGAGCGGGGAGCTGGCTGTGCAGTGAGTAATGGGGTGAGCAGGCAGCAGCCTGGCCAGGCTCCCCCCTCTGCACCCAGGCAGTTCCCTCTCTGCTCATCTCTCCAAAATTACACAACTTCTCTCCAGTGAAGGTCGTGGGGTTGGTTCTGAGTGTTCACAGAAGCAGCTGGGGTTGTTGCCCTGCTGCCCCAAGCCAGATTGCGTGGCTGTGCTGTGGCCAGGATGCTGGGGTTTTTCCACAAATGATTTTTCCACTTCCCTGGCTCAAACTGCAGGGGGTTAGTCCAAAAGGCAGGTTTTTTTTTTTTTTTTTTTTTTTTTTCCCCTCCTCTCTGCTGGCAATTTGTGGTTGCCAGACCAGGGGCTGGAGAAGAAAGGAGCTAAATGAGATCACTGTTCATTGCTTTCCTCTGACACTGGTGGGACTTGAGCAGCACCTGAGGCTTCCACAGAGCTGGGATTTTCATTTCTCTTCCACCCCTGCCTCTCCTCCAGAGCTGAACCTGGAGGAGCTGTGTCCTCAGAGCACACCAGGTTTTTTGTTCTTTAGTGCAGCACTAAATTGATCAGTGAGAGTCCAACCTGGGACTTGCTGTTTACTGGGCAGTGTAACAGTGATCATTTATATCACATTTGCAAGAATGGGATGAAAACACTTATTTTCCTGCATAGCAGGGGGGGGGGAAAGTAATAAAACAGTGAAGGGGGACAGCAACCCTAAATGTTGTGTCTAATCTGAAGAGCATGATCTTGCCCGCCGTTAAAAACGTCCTGAGAACAAAGTGGGTGGTTTTATTTCAAGGTCAGCACAGAGACGCAGAAAAGTTTCTTTTCCCCTTTGACTGCTGGAAAAGTTGAGTTGGAAACACAAGGGAGCAAGTCTGGGTAATGTTTTTTTTTAACACTTGCCCTGCCAGTCCATCCAGGAGGGTCCTTGCTGACAAGGCTGACGTTGTGTGGTATATTTTGGTGTGGTGTTTTCAGAATTTCCTTCTGACCAGGGGCCATTGTGTTTGTTGACAAATGACCAGGTGACACAGGAAAGCATCTGTCCAAGATTGTATCTGTGTGATTGGGAAAGCAGACTGTTCTCTGGAGAGGTGCCAAAAATAGAAAGGGAGGGTCATTCAGGGCAGGAGGGATGGGGTGGGCTCGTTAAAACACGGTGATGTTTGTTACTCTGACCTGTAGAATCTTATGGCTGTGAAAAGGTGCTCTTTTTTCTTTTCCCCCTCTTTCCCAGCACATCTTTGATTCCCCCTGAATATGAGGCAACACACCAAAGTGACTTCATTCTAGTAAGAGAGGAGTTAAAAAACATGATCCCCACCCACTCAGCTGGACCCCCAGTGTGGATGCAGGAACACACTGCAGTGTGCTGTCCAAGCATGTGGAATTCTGGCCAGCTGTGGCTGTTCCCTGGGGCCCTGACCACAGCAAAGGCTGCTGACAGGGCACAGAATTTGGGCCCAGGAGGGCTGGTGTCATCCTGTGTCCCCTGCAGCACATCCCCTCTGCCTGTCCCCCTTCCCGGAGCAGCCACGTGACAGCAGAGGCAAAAGTGGGTCCCACAGCAGCACTGAAGGCCTTGAGAGGGGGGAAAAAATTTTGGCAGGAAAGCTGAATGGGTTGCAGGGAGGAAGGCATTGAAATAATTAATTTCCCTGGGAACTGGTTTGCTCCACTCCAAGTGGAGGGATCTGGACCACACAGGCTCGTGAGTCCCTGCTGGGTGAACCCCAAAGACGGGTTTTGGGTTGTTCTCACCCCCCAGATGACAGTCCCTGGAGGAGCTGGCTGAGGACAGCATGAGGAGGGGAGAAGCTGGATGGTTTCCCCGCTCCTCCTTGCAGGCCAGTCTTTGCTGCAGGTCCCTTGGGTAGGCACAGGGATGTTGGGAGCTCGGAGCGCTGTTTTCCTCCCTTTAGGAACGAGGAGCTGCTCCCCCCTTGCCAGGAGGGCCCAGGCTGTGGTTGCCTGCAGTGCCACTGAACTGGCTGCCCCCTGTTACACCAAGAGTTTGCCACTCAAATCCAAATAGGAGATGAATTGTCCCTGCAGGTCAGGGCTGAGGATTCCCGACGCCCCCGCGGTGAGTTCACCCGGAGAGTCCCCACAACGCTCTGCTGGGACTTGTTCCCTGCTGGGAAATTTTGCAGAAACCCAGAGGTTAAGGGTGCTGTTTGTGTTGCCTTGGCTGGGTACCCACCTTGGCACTGATTCACTCTGCTCCTGCTGCCGGGAAAGAGGGGAGGTGGCTGAGGGGGGAAAGGTGCTCGCTGAGGAGGAGAAACTTCGGTGGCTCTTTCCAGGTGAGATGTTTTTTTGAGTGACATGCTTTGGTTCTTGCTCCACCTGAGCCATAACCAGGGCAGGGAGAGCTGGGAGGTTGAGGAAAGCCAAGCAAGGCTTTGGGACAGGCTGGGGGAAGAGAAGAGCTTGACTTCTTGCTCAGCACAGGGTGGCCACTGCAGGGTACATGTCTCTCAGAACATGGACATCCCCAGCAAGGATCACTTTGGGTTTGCTTGGAGCCGGGGAAAGGTGGGATTTGTCTCCTCAGAAGGACTCGTGCCACAGGAGCCAGGTCCTTGAACAACACAGCTTTATTAAAGCTGTTCTTGGCTCACTGGCTGTTTCAGTGCTGGCAGCACGGCCCGTTCCTGCCTTTTCCCAG